AGAAGCGAAAAAAAAAAAAATCAATAAAACGACCCCCCCCCCTTCGGTCCACGTGTACACATACACGTGTAACATGTGCACGTGACATCGGATACTCTGAAACGCCAATCAGGCGTCGTTAAGAGCAACGTCTGAGGTGTATCTCGGTTCCCTGGATATGTTCGCGAGAGATGCAGGTGTATATATATATATATTTTTTTTTTCCTGTGATGAGTGAAAAATCGCAGAGATTTTTTTCTCATTTGCAGCAGTGCAGCGCTTTTACAAATATACATATATGCCTCCGTAAAAGGGCACAAGAAAGAGGTAAGAAAAAAGGGACAGCGAGGGAGGGATTAAGATTAAAAGTCTGGAGAGAAAAGTTTTTTGGATGCATATACATATATACCTACGTCGACTGCACTTTAAACTAAATAATATATGTATACAGTTTTGGGTTGGGAAAACATCAGAGTAAAAAATCCCACTCTTCATGCGTACAGGTAAAGTATGTATATGTATAATATAGTGTACGCGCGAGATAAGTGCTTTTGAGCGAAAATCAGAGCCGAGGTGGCAAGTGTTTTTACATGATGTGCTCTGCCGAGGTGCACGGCGTTCACACCACGCTTAAGACAATCCGATAGAGTGCGCGTACACCTTCACGCGTGTGGGGTTTTCCCTCCCGTTCGCGGTGCCATTCAATCGAAATGTGTGGCAGATCTTTTTTTTTTCTTTGCAAAAACTGTATGGCGCGAGTGGGGGAAAAAATTACGCGGTCGGTGAAGCGCCTGGAATATTAAACAAACATTTGCGCGAGCTAACTTGTTTTTTTTTTGTACCACATACTTTGATCGAATGAAAGTGGTAGATTATGTATTTCGACGGAATTGGATTTCAAGATGCAGATTGACAACTCGGAGGCACCTGACGCTCGATTCATGTCTCGCGAGAGAAGGTGGAATTCGTGTCCTCGTCTCGGTTAAAAAAAAAAAAAAAAAAAAAAAACAAGACCGCGTTTTTCGTGCATAAGTACAATTATCAAGTGAAATGTATACATATATGTACATGGGTGTGGTGTATTTTTTTAGCCTCGAATTTCGCATTCACGTAATCCCCTTTGAGCCCTTAACGAAATACGCCGTCGCCACGTTGCGTTCATATTTGCTCGGACGGATCCTCGCATTATCCTCTTCTTGGGGAAAACTTTCGAAGCCCCGATCCGTCCATTGTTGCTTTTTGATGCGCGAAGAAGTAGCCGGATTATCCGTACATTTTTTAATTTCACTTGCGGCCATTCAAACTTGCCTCCCCCCCCCCCCCGGCTTATGAGGACCAGGGATGTGTAACTTTGAAAAGTTGCGCTTGGATTAAAAAAAAAAAAAAATATATATATATTTGTATGCACGAGTATATATAAATGTATGGAGGTACATGTATCCATTCTAATCCCTGAGGAAATTTCCTCTAATTTGAAAATCAAAAGCTGATGGTGGGTGACTTACAAAGTTGAACGATTTTTCAATTTAAAAATAAGGCGTGGGACTGGCCGGGATCGAAGAACGCCCGTCGATAAGTCCGGCCTCGCGTGGCTCGAGCTTACCCGCGGGTGCGATTGTTTACGAGTTCAAGGAGGACAATCGATCCTATACCGATTTATCGTAATGCCTATATACTACTCTACGTAAATTAAGGTATGGAGTCGGAAAGCACGGGTCTGTCTTTCTCTCGTATTTGTCTTGTCCATTAATTGTAAATGGCACACTTGAGCCGTCGATCGAGCGATAAAATTGAACAAGAAGGAAAATGGAAAAATTCCGATACGTCGAAGCAAAAGAGGTGGCATATCAAGAGGCAGAGAAGAAAAAGCTTAACGCGCACTCGTCGACGGTAAGGTGGACTCCTGCGGCGAGATGTCGCCTCATCCAGGTTTTTTGCCTCTGAAAAGCAAGGACTGCCTTGATCATATTTTTCAATCTGAACAACGACGATCGCCAGCATACACGAGTATTTGCACAAAAAAAAGTTTTGAAAGGAAAAACATTTCGTTGCCACTATTTTTATACTTCAAGTGTCTCTTGTGTAGGATTACACAAATATTTATGGCTGCAGAACTTGGAGGAACAAGGCAAAAATCTCGTTGGAATCAATTCATTCAATGAATTTTATGAGATCGCGGTGTTTTCACCAAAAGGATAAATAAAAGAAAAAAAAAACTAAATGTTGCTTGCCCTCTGTGATTAAAAAAAAACCTTTTTATTTCAGGACAAGTGAACAGTGTTGATCTCGAGCTTTTTTTTTTGCGGAAACGTACCTCCATGTGGATACATCATACTATTACAACACATCAGTCTCTCAAACCCGCGAGCGCGCGCAGTCCCGGTCCACATCTCGAGCGCCAGCATCCACCGTTGACGCGCGCAAGCGTAGTCGGGGGTCGCAACGAGGCTCTCGCCCCGGAGAAAGAACAAGCGAGATAGCGAGCGCTAATCACCGCACACGCGGAGCATAGAGAGAGAGGGATGCCGCGTTTGCTCCTCTCCGGCGATTGTTGTCGATTGCGGCAGCCACAGGGGCGAAAAAGCCGCTAGTGGTCCATGAATCTTCCGTCCCTCGATCCGGAGCACCGCGCCTTCGTCTAGCCGCGGAAGAGTCACCACAGCCTGCACCTACGTATACATATACCAATGGCACAGTGGGAGCGCGGTTTGGTTCGCGCGCGCGCGCGTCCGACCGTGCACCTACGAGCCCATGCTCCCCAAAAGGTCGGCGCTCCTCTCCCGTAGAGCTGCACCCACTTCCCTCCCTCCGCTCCTCTCGCGCCCAATCTTGATTTTCGCGAGAGCCCCCCTCCCCCCACCCGCCCACTAGTGTGTCATATTTTTTCGCGGGGAAGACGCCGCCGTCGCGAGGAGGAGGAGGTGCTATTATGTGCGCGTCAAGAGCGCGACGGAACTCGCCGAGGGCCTGCTGGACGGGCCGAGCGGTGGTCGCGCCAGCTGCTGATGACGGGACGAGGATGTCGGGCCACCGGTGCTCGTTGCCTCACTGCTGCCCGCGGCGATGATACTGCCCGACGAGACCGAGGGACCCTGGTGCACAGCCCGGAGTAACGATAATTCGTGTTGTTATGTGTCGCCGTCGTCGTCGCGGCCGTCGACGTCCTAGGACGAGCCGAGTTATTAGGTGAGTTTTTTTCATCTTCTCCTTCCTCTTCTTGTTTTACACCTCTGTTTTTTTTTTTTTTTTTTTTTTTTCTACGAGGGAGGTCGTGAATATATGCATCTCCCGTGGAGCGAGCGATCGCGAGTAGTGTAGCTCAAGATTGCGTCCGGCTACACGTATGGTCGCTCGAGCCTGAAAACCCGTGATAATGACATTGCCCTGGATTCTCGCCTCGCATGATCCCGCCTATGCTGTCGTGTACGCGCGCGCGCGCGTTTGGTCCATCTGATGACACGCTAATCAGCGAATCTGGCGAAATTCAGTGCACGACGCTCGCTCGACACACAGATTTTGTGCATTCAAGTGCGAGCGGTGAACGCGTTCTTGTTTTTTTTTTTTTTTTCTTTTGTTTTTTCATGGGAAATCAAGTGTGTCGAGATGATTTTGTCAGACAAGTCGCGAAAGAGAGTTTTACGTAAGACCTTTTTTCTTACCCCCGTGCTCGCGTGTATATACGAGCAGTGAAGTTAATGGACGATGCTCTCTTGGCTGTGAAAATCGTGTCACTTTTTTTTCAATTTTCGCTGACGTGGATTTTCGAGGGACTACAGAGCGGGGGTGGATACATATTAATACACTCGTGTGGTCAAGTGACCGAGAGAAGCCTTGCGCTGAAAAATCTGTCAAGTGGGTGTATTAAATATAACTTTTTCTTTTTTCTTTTCTTTTTTTTCTTTTTTTTTTTTTTTTTTTTTTTTTTTTTTT